TTTAACAAAATTCATTAATAAATCTACAATAGGTCACATTAGTGATAAAGTTGAAGTTTATGAGAATAATTAATAAAAGAGCGAATAAATGAAAATCTTATCTGAATTCTCAAAACAAAAAATATACACTTTTAAAATTTATTTCGAGTAAATCAAATTTAAAGAATTATTTAAAGTTTTAAAAATATTTATATTATTGTAGGCTCAAAGAACAATAAGGTTAATCAGTTGATAAATATCTCAATGATTGTTTGAAGGTAATCATAAATAAATTTGGCTTTATTAATAGATCATCAAGAGACCAATCATTTTATAGGAAGAATTCTATTAAATTCTAATTGTTTAGTAAATTTACAAGATATTCAAATTTTCTTTGCATATTTAACAATCCATCAAAAAAGATCATTTATCATTGCTTTATCAATGATCGTCCATATATGGTGATAGGTATCTTCTTACTCAATTTATAATTTTAAAAATATGATAATGATTTTGTATATCTAATGATATACTAAAAATTAGAATATTTAAATAGTAACACATATCCATAACTTTTACAAAAAACTAGCTTCAAGTCAGATTAATTCTATTTCTTTGCTTATTTTGACTGTCAATTTAATTCACAATTATTTTCACTTAATATAATTATTTAGCCTGAGTTCAATAAATATTTAAAAAATTATTTTGTAATTCTATTATTATCAGATTAGGGTAAAATTAGCAATGAACTACAAAATATTTTCAATCATTAATAATGATAAATTGTGTGGAAACTAATTGAATAAATGTAATCTATTAAATTAAACCAAAAAAATTACCTAAAAGCCAAATGATAAGTGATTATTTAAGAAATAGAATAACTAAAACAATTGAAAAATATGGGATTGTGTTGTCTGAATTTTTTGATACAAATTTTAAGAATTATCTAATTAATAAAATCAGACAAAAATAACAGAAATAGAAAATTTATTAGATTTAGTCAATAAAATAGATAAGGAATCAACTTTTGAATGGTACATTAAGTATATTAAAACTTGTGAACATTTGGCGAAAAGTCTTTCAATCTAGGATGATATAGTTACACGTAGCAATAATTTTATTTAGATATTTAAATATTATTCCTAAATTTCTAATCTTATCCAAGGGTATGATGATTTTAAAATTTTATAGATAATTGCTAAAGATTAATTAAAGAATATGAATAAATTAATAAGTTAAAGACTTGAAATTTTATAAACAAAAGAATAGTTAAATGTTGCAATTAGTTAATAAGAAGAAAATATAGAATAGCCAAACTCTATAATATTTTAATGCGAAAAAAATATATAAGAGTTTAATTCTTAAATAAGTTAATAGGATATAAAAATTGAGAATTATGAATAGTAAATTCAACAATTTTAAATTTAATACTAAGATAAAACATCAGAAATAAAGTTATTTAATAGTAAGCTAGAGGAAGAGAAACAAATAAAGAGCTCTTTAAATTTCTAACAAATATAATAGTAAAATTAGATATAAGAACTATTAGATAAGATAAGTAATTAATCTAATTAAAACAAATGGAAAATAGAAATTAATAAATGATCAATTAAATTAAAGAATAACATTAAGCGCAAACAACTTATATGATGAATTAAATTTAAAGCTTAAAAAATAGAGGACCTTAAACTATCCATCATTATCATGAGACAACTAAATTGTGTTAGATATTTTGAATCGCATATATTTTTATATAGAAAATTATTTTTTACATTTTTATATAGAAAATTATTTTTAATAAAATTATCTCA